GATGGTGACTATTATTGCCACCGGGTACAAAATACTGGCTATATTTTACAATGTAGCCAATTTCATATCCTTAAAACTTGTGCATCTGAGCTGTAATGTTGACAAGCAGAGGGACAGCTGAAACTTCTATAATGGATGGTAGCCAGATAATTAACCAAACATTAGACCTAACAAGGGATAATTAAGGTCAACTCAAGAAAATGGAACACTCAATATGAAAATTGGGAATATCTTGCAATTACTTATATAAATAAGAATTTCTCTTGCTAGCTATATATGATTTAATTGGTAATGGAAAAAGTTAAATAAACAACAAAACACTCTTGGAGAGTAAAGAATAAACTAACTAGTGAAATCAACATGCAAATTTAACAACAAGCAGGCTCTGAGAAAGCAGAAATAATGTTTATAGTTTAGTTTCCATTGCCTGTCGGCTCGCAGGCGAACACAGATTTAGATCAGATCAACTTGTTTCCTTTCTCAGAACACATAAATAACACAAATACAGCAATCTTTAAATTTCTTGTTTATGTTGCTACGTTTTTCTCTTTACAGTAATGTCAATATTATATATAATTCAAGAACATGTGGCCATCATGTATAGTTAGCATGCACTGATGCACGTATTCACATTTATTTTTATGATTTTTTTTTTTTTTTACTATATTGTGTGACAAATGGTCGAGCTAATATATATCAGGTTTGCTATAAGGCTTCAAGAATCAATTATATTAATTCAGATCAATATAACTAATTGTATATCAAACTACGACGGAACGGACACAAAAATCACTATAAAATGCACGTAAATATGACGCATGTCAATGTGCCCGTTTCATCAATAATGGTCAAGCTAATATATCAGGTTTGTTGGTATGAGCAGTGTGCCTCTTTCAGAATCAGAGTATATTTGATTGCTAAGTGTAATAGCAGGTGGTGGGTAGGTTTGTTTCTAGCAATGCAATGAGATGAACGAGTGATATCTCTCTGTCTGTATTTGAATTATCATCACTGTTTGCAGATTTATTTTTGGCTAAACGGGGGAGTAAGAAGCCAATAAAGAGTAATATCATCATCATACAAATTAATATTGAATTTAAGGCAAAATCACACAACATATTTACAAATTCATAGGAATTAAATCTTAATTTTAAATCCATGCCACACAACGAATTTGATGATATTTAATTTTGAATATAAAATCAATCTATGATTTATTTGAATATAAAATTTAATTATACAACAAAGTTAATGATTAGTTCTGTATATACATATTTTATTTTATCTTATCTACTGTGTACCAATATATTAATGTAAATCTTAAATATCTTATATTTATTAAAAATATATACACTACAAAAAAAAAAGCTTTTACATTTCAACGGAAATTTTTCGTTGGAATTCTTTATATTTTTCGTTGGAATAGCTATTACAACGGATATTCCTACGTAAAAAAATCCGTAGGAAAAGCAGCCGTCTGAATAGATAAAATCCAACACTTATTTCAACATAAAATTAAGATTGTTAGAATATTTATTGGAATTTCTAATAGAAATTTTTGCCGTTGGAATTGAAGTGTTTTCTTGTAGTAATATTCTTTATAAAGCATGACGATTCATATAATTAATTGTTAGATACTGCTGGTTTGACTCATGACACTCATTCTATTCAAATAAATAAGGGAGAAATTCTATTACAAGGCCCAACTTTTTGTATTTGTATAAATTTAAGTCCTAAATTTTATTCTTTCTCAATAGAAGACTTACATTTTAACTTATTTTCAATTTAAGGCCTACTTTTTTAGTTAACTTTTCATTATAAGACCCAACCAACTTTACTTTTTGACATAAATATGTGAACCACTTATTATGTGAACAAAAATATTATTATTATTTTTCAGGTAATTTATATTTTACATACTTATAATGAAAAAATAATAAGTATGTTTGGTAAAATTACATTAATAAGAAAATGAAACTAGATAAGTTACAATTATGCAAAAGTTTAATAATCATTATTTTTAAAATTGATAATTTCAAAAATATGAAATTAAAATATTATTTTATTAGTAATTGTAAAATAAAAATTAGAACAAAAAATAATAATTATATTTTTGCTCACATAATAGTTGGTTATCATATTTATGTCAAAAAGTAAAGTTAGTTGTGCCTTATAATGAAAAGTTAACTAAAAAGTATGTCTTAAATTGAGAATAATCTAAAATATAAGTCTTCTATTGAGAGAGAATAAAATTCAGGCTTTAAATTGATACAATTACAAAAAGTTGAGATAGGGTTGTCAATAAAACCCATAGGGTCGGGTTACCCGCGGGTTACCCGCATTTTTGGGTCGGGTAAACCCGAGATTATTGGGTTTCGGGTTGGGTTAGGGTAGAATTATGCTACCCGAATCCAGGGTCGGGTGCGGGTATAGTAGGCTAACTTATTACCCGACCCGATTACCCTACCCGTTTACCCACAACCATTGAATTATATATACATACATAATTGTCGGCCATTTTTTGTTGTGGTGTTTCTAAATACGATTAAAAAAAAAAAAAAATTGAATTGAAGAAAAACTGAATGAAGACGATGAAAAAAATAAAGTAAGAGATAATGATGGAGGTGGCGTGTGAGCATGGATTGAATAGAATCCATTACCATTCAAAAAGACTACCTCCTTGAGTCATGTATAAAAACGGTTGTGAATAAAATAGGTGAGAATCTGCAAATATTTTGTACAGAATCAATTTGTTTACAAAAAAAAAAAAAAAATATTTTCCTAGTATATGTACTACAATATATCTTGCTTTTGTTAGTTGAAGGGTAATTTTCTCCTAGATTAACCACCACCCTAAAGATAACATCTGCTGCTATTTGTATGCAACACACAGTCCGAAATTACAATGGCTAAAACCTCGATGCTTGGGCGGCCACCCTCACCACGGCCTCTTGTCCCCTCTTTATCGGAGGAAGGAGAAACACAAGCTGTATTACAGATTAACAAAGAAACAAATTCCAGTGGGACCAAGATAAGAAGAAGCCAAAAACTATCGGCCTTCCAGTCACTTCCCGACGAACTGCTTCGCAAAATCCTCTTGTACCTCCCGGAGGCCCAGGACATCTACCGCACGGGGCTCGCCTGCCGAGGCTGCTATCACATAATCCGTTCAACTGGATTCACACAGGCCGAGCTCCGGCGACCGGACCGCGACGGTGTCCTCCTCGTTACCTCCGGGCCTGTGGTCTTCATCTTCATGTGGTTGGGCCGCGTCGTGGTATCCGATTACTCCGCATACAAATTCAAATTGCCCATCACGAACAGTTGCGACGGCCTTGTCCTGGAGTTGAATCGTCCTAAAAATAGACTCTCGGTGGCCAACCCGACCACAGGACGAACCCTCCGTCTACCTCGGTTGCCCACTAGTATGGAGCGCGGCTGTTACAGCATAGGGTACGCCAAGGCCTCCAT